GGCCCCCAAGAGGCCCCCAAGAGGCCCCCAAGAGGCCCCAAGACGCCCCAAGAGGCCCCCAAGAGGCCCCCAAGAGGCCCCCAAGAGGCCCCCAAGAGGCCCCCAAGAGCCTCCAAGAGGCCCCCAAGAGGCCCCACGAGGAGCCCGAACGACTCACACCAGGACGAGGGGCCCGAACGACTCGCACCACGAAGAGCCCGAACGACTCACACCATAAGGAGGGGCCCGAACGACTCACACCAGGACGAGGCGCCCGAACGACTCACACCACGAGGAGCCCGAACGACTCACACCACGAAGAGCCCCAACGACTCACACACAAGGAGGGGCCCGAACGACTCACACCAGGACGAGGGGCCCGAACTTTTCACACCACGAGGAGCCCGAACGACTCACACACAAGGAGGGGCCCGAACGACTCACGCCCGGACGAGGGGCCCGAACGACTCACACCACGAAGAGCCCGAACGACTCACACCAGGAGGAGGGGCCCGAACGACTCACACCAGGACGAGGCGCCCGAACGACTCACACCACGAGGAGCCCGAACGACTCACACCAGGACGAGGGCCCCGAACGACTCACACCACGAGGAGCCCGAACGACTCACACCAGGAGGAGGAGCCCGAACGACTCACACCAGGACGAAGGGCCCGAACAACTCACACCACGAGAAGCCCGAACGACTCACGCCAGGACGAAGAGCCCGAACGACTCAAACCACGACGAAGAGCCCGAACGACTCACACCAGGAAGAAGGGCCCGAACGACTCACACCAGGACGAGAGGCCCGGAGATATGCGGGGGCAGGCGGAAACACGCCTGAAAAACACGACTGTCGGCATGCTTCGCAAGAGTTGCTGTTTTGAGATGGGCTGGTGGGGATACGCGAAGCGTGAAGAATTGTCTTGACCACGCGTGAGGCGGCCCACGGGGGAAGGCACAGAGAGCCTGGCCTCTCCCAGGCGACGCCGCGAGAGTCTCACGACGTCGACCCCCGGAGGCCTGGGCCCCTTCCCCGGGACCGGCTGTTCATCCTGAATATACTCTTCTGACGGTCCCGGGGCCCGGTCAGGGCCCCCGTCCTGATTTGATTCGTTCACATCGCGAAGGGGTCTGGGAACGCAGCCAGAAGTGGGCCGGAACATCAGGGCCAAGCTGGGCCCTTCTTACAGCCAACCCGTATCACAAGGACGCGCAGTAAGGATGCAAGGGCCTTCGAGGCACCCGCGAACGTTCTTCGAACGAGGCTGGCCAGCGAAAGTCGCAAAGGATGGGCCGAAGGAGAAAGGATGCCAGGGTGCCCTTGGGGAGGTCGCCCATCCCTACTAGGCGGGTGGCCTGCACTTCCTCCTCCGCGACCCGCGGCCCGCCCCGCGGCGGCCCTCCCCGTCTCGCCCCGGCAGCGCCGAAGCCCGCCCGCGAGCGGCGGCCACGTCTCGCACTCCCCAAGGCCCGAGGCGGTCGGAGGGCCCGCGTCGGAGGAGGTCGTAAGCGGGCGGTCTCGCGGGCGGTCGTCCCGTGGGCTGCCCCGCGGGCTGCCGAAACTCGGACCCCGCTCCCACGGGCTGTCCCGCGGGTTCTCTCGTGGCTGTCTCGCGGGAGTCGCAGGTCGGAGTGCAGTCGGAGCGCAAATCGACATGCAGATTGCGCTACACAATCTCCAATATTCGTGCACATCGGAGAGTAAATGGGAATGTGAGCCTCAGATGGCAATTCGGCGTCATACTTGGGATACCAGTCAACATGAGCATTTACCTTCAAACAGAAATCCGACTCCACTTGCAAACGAAAGTTAAAACGGACAACACATCGACGTGCACAGCCAAGTGCAATCGAAATGTAGATCGACGTGCACATTCAATCGTAACCAGCACGCAGCATGCACATCATAATACAAGTCAGCATATCAGTACACTTGCATTCGAAATGCAAGTCAGCATGCAAAGCGAATTGCTCATCAAAATAACCATCCACACGCACATCTACATGCACATCGAAATACAATCGCCATGCATATCGAAATGCACATTTAGGTGCGATTGACATGCAAATCGAAAGTCACATGTAAGTACACCTCGAAAAGCAACTCTGCACGAATACGTAACACCCCGCCGTTGCGGAGAAGAGTGAGGGGGCCGCGAGGACGGCGGCAGTCTGCGAGGCTCTGAAGAAGCCCGTCGCAGGTGCCTTACCTTGAAAACTATGCACTGAGCCCGCCGCAGGCGCCGATTTCCTCGTCAAAGCAATGTGGGTGGGATGGGTCGCGGGTGGGTCGCGGGTGGGTCGCGGGCCGGATCGCTGGTGGGTCGCGGGTGGGTCACGTGTGGGCCGCTGGTAGGTCGCGGGCGGATTGCGTGGTGGGTCGCGAATGGGTCGCGGGTGGGTCGCGGGATGGTCGCGGGTGGATCGCGGGTGAGTCGCGGGTGGGTCGCGGGCCGGGTGGCAGGGGGGACGACGACAACAAACAACAACAACAACAACAACAACAACAACAACAACAACAACACCAACACCAACACCAACAACAACAACAACAACAACGACGACAACGACAACGACAACGACAACAACAACAACAACAACAACAATAACCACAACAACAGCAACAACAACAACAGCAGCAGCAGCAACAGCATCAACAACCACCACAGCAACAATCATTTCAAAACTGTTCGCTCTTACTGGCAAGCGTGTCTTGCATTCTGTATACCCCAGCCCTCGATACCCGCCCACTTCATCTTCGATCGCACCCCCTTTTGGAGGGAACATCTTCCTTGCCGGCCACTGATTGAAAAGCGAGGGCCGCTCGAGCGAGAGCGCCGTTCCTGGAATCGGGGGCCTCTCTGGCCAGGGGCTGCCACAATACATGTAGACAAATATCGCACGGGAGCCCTTGTCGCCGTGTCTGGGCCTCCACCACCTTGCCCGAATTACGAGAAAGTCTCGAGCGAGAGCGCCGTTCCTGAGTTCGGGGGCCTCTCTGGCCAGGGCTTCTGGGAATACATATAGAGGAATTATCGAACGAGAGCCCTTGTCGTCGTAGTTGGGTCTCCACCAATTTGACTGAATTGCGAGAAGGTCCCGAGCGAGAGCGCCGTTCCTGAGTTCGGGGGCCTTCCTGGTCAGGGGCTCTCGGAGTCGATCGTGAGGAGGTATCGAGAAGGAGCCCTTGTCGTCGTGGCTGGGCCTCCGCCTTCTTGACTGAATTGCGAGGAAGTCTCGAGCGGGAGCGCCGTTCCTGAGTTCGGGGACCTCTCTGGCCAGGGTGTCTCGGGGTAAATTATGAGAAAGTATCGAGCGGGAGCCCTTGTCGTTGTAGCAGGGCCTCCAAGGGCACACATTGACAATCAAGCCCGCGCTCGAGCGGGAGCCTCGTTTCAAAGGCATTCCAGCCGGCGTCGAGGCGAGAGCGCGCGGAACCGTTTCCAGAGATCAGCAAACTTATTCCCTAGAAATGAATATGCATCACCAACAACATCAACAACAACAGCAACAGTAACAGTACCAATAACATTAACACCAACATTAACATGAACAGTACCACTAACATTAACCGTCACATTGTCATTACCAATAACGCAAACACCAACAACTACAACCACAACAACAGCAACAACAACAGCAACAACAACGGCATCAACGTCAACAACAACAACAACGTCAACAACAACAACAACAACAACAACAACAACAACAACAACAACAGCAGCAACAACAGCAACAACAGCAACAGCAACAACCACAACAACAACAGCAATCCGCAACGCAGAACCTCACTTCAGCCACGTGCCCAGGGACGGTGAATGAACGTTCGGCCCCCTCACTCTGATATCGGCGCATATCGGAATGCCGAGTGGAAGAAGGCGTAGCGATGTATGGATACGCTTGCACTCGAAATGAACATCGAAATGAAAATCGAATTGCACATGTGAATGCACGTCGCGCTGCAAGGTCCCCCCTCCAGACAACGAAAACTGCTACTCCCAGCACCCGAAAAGGTGGTCTACGGGATACGCACTAGAACGCGCGGTACGGCAGGGTCACGTCGCGATGATGACAGCGTCGAGTTCTGACGCCGCGTGGATCGTCCAGCCTCGAACGAACGCGGCCTTCCGCCAGCGCGGATCGCTCGAGGCTGGTCGACGTTGGGCCCCTGGCGGAGCTCTATCTTGGTGTCGCCGCCGATCGTCACGACAACGTCGCTTTCTGACACCGCGTGGATCGTCCAGCCTCGAACGAGCGCAGCCCTCCGACAGCGCGGATCGCTCGACGCTGGCCAGCGTTGGGCCCCATGGCGGAGCTAAAACCTTGGTGTCGCCGACGCTCGTCGGCGACACGAGCCTGCCGTCGCTTGCGCACCCTGCGCCACCTACTCCCCCGCCCGAGCAGAGCAGGGAGGGGGGAGGGGAACACGGCGGCTGGGGGAGCAGGGCGGGGGGGATGAGGAGAGGCCTCGCCCTGCTCATCCGTCCACCTGCCCCTGCTGCTGCTGCTGCCCTCTGGGCTTCTGCTGCCTACCCCTCCCTCACTCCTCACGGCTCCTCCTCCTCCTCCTCCTCCTCCTCCTCCTCCTCCTCCTCCTCCTGCTCCTCCTCCTCCCCCTCCTCCTCCTGCTCCTCATCCTCGTCCTCGTCACTCCTCCTCGTCACTCCCCTCCTCCTCCTCCTCCTCCTCCTCCTCCTCCTCCTCCTCCCCTCCTCCTCACTCGCTCCCTCCCCCTCCCTCCCTCCCTCCCTTCCCTCCTCCTCCTCCTCCTCCTCCTCCTCCTCCTCCGTCCTCCGTCCTCACTCCCTCTCCTAACCCGCCCCCCCCGCCACTCCAGGATGTCGAGACCAATCCCGCGGGGCGCCTCCCCGCCCGCCACGCCCCGGGTGCGCTCCCCGCCCGCCTGGCCGCGGCCCCCCCGGCTCCTGCTTCCTCCTCTTGAGCGCCTTCCGCTTCTCCCGCTTCCAGCCGGGGTTCTCCTCCCTGCGCTGCTCCTTGCGCAGCCTCCGCGCCTGCTCGGCGGGCCCCGACGCCGTCGTCGTTTTTTCATGCCGTGGCTTGCCAATGGGCGCGAGCCCTCGCACCCCCCTCTTCCCCCGCCCCCCCTCCCCCCCCTATGGAGCACCAGATCTTGGTTGTTTGGGGCGCCTGCTTCAGGCAGGTGGAGTTTCCCCCACAAGACGCACTGTGGCAAACAGCCGTGTTAGGCAGAAGAAGCACGACCCTGGACGGATCGCCGGCACGGAAGAGGACGGGCGGAGCCACGTTGCGAAACAAGCATGACGTTGAATGTCTGGGGGCGTCTATCCTCCCTCCTCTTCCGCCCTCAGGGGCCGCGCCCTTCCCTTGTCCCCCACTCTTAGAAGAAGATGTAACGGCACAAGCATAAACTTTTGGCGCTCCGCGCGGATTCCTTGGATCTGCGCTGGACCCCCCTCCCCGGCGCGCTGAGCGTGCCAGGGGCGGCGCCGGAGGTGCCTCCAGGGAGGCCCAGCGCAGACCCAAGAAATCCGCGGGGAGCGCCAACAGTTTATGTATTCATGGCGTTTTTCTCCTTCGAACTCTTGCAGCCGGACCATTGGTGCCTGCCTCAGCCCGGCTCACTGGGGCGCGCGTGCGGATCGCCTCTGCCGCGCCGCGACGGAAACGTCTGGGGGAGCCTGGACCCCCCAGAAGCCCAAGTCCCGGTTGAAGCATGACATCTTCTCGATCGAAGCTCAGGGAAACGGAAGACTCGGATCCGGGGGGGCTCGGGTTGGCCTGACGGGGCCGTCAGGAAAATGACGAGTCACAATCTGAAATTGGACGCGACCTCCCGCTGCAAACATCCCTCGGGGGCTGAACCATCAAAATCCGGGACGGGCTCGTCAAAAAGCGTCGGCAAACCCAGGTGCCGGCGAACTCGAGTCTTAGACGCTTTTCCGAGCAATGGGAGGGGACGGGAGGCCCGACCGAGTCACGGGGGAGGGGGAGGGTCTGGGCTCGATCAGGGCGCTCTGCTTGAGCAGGGGGCTCCCGAATGGGGCCTGTCGGTGGCCCGACATGATCTTGTCCTGGTTCGGCTTGACCCCGAGGGAGGCGCCCTCGCGAAATTTGTCAGTCCAGTGACGGCATCTCGTCGAGACTGGTTCGCTGCGGGGCTCAGTCTTGCATGAGTCCAGACGCGTTCCACCACTCTGGTGGTAGCGGATACGTCCCCCGAAAGCCCAAACGGGGCCGAAAACGTCTCGATCCTCTATATCCTGCTCCCTTGTCACTCTTTCCAGGTCCTCCGAATCGACCCCTGGACCTCTCCTGGGTAGCGTTGTTTACCAGAGGTCGGAAGAGAATCCAGCAGGGGCGACGACGAAGCCTCCCCAGGGTCCAAAGCAGCGCAAAAACATCCAAAGCGACGACCGCGAAGCGGAAACTTTGCCTTGCACCGAGGAGCGAGGGGGGACGGTCTTCTATAGTTCTCTTGGGGCGACTCTGGCCTGAGGGGCAAAGATGAGGGGGGACTGGCACAGGGGGGAGCATCGACCTGGAATCGGCGATACAGTGCCGATTGATCGGCGATAGGCCCTCGATTCTGAATCCACACATTCCTGGGCGGGGGTGGGCTATCGGGCCCATGTCGTGGATGAGTGGACGATTAGTGGTCCATGCATCCCCCCTGTGCCTATCCCGCCCTATCGTTGCCCCTGGTGGCCCTCCTCCTGGGCCTCATGGGGTCCTCTGGGGTACATGGTTGTCCTGATACGGTGAAGGCATGGGATAAGGAACCCGTAGATAAGGAATCCAGGTCCTGGAAGCTGGTGGAACCTCAGTCGTGGATCGGCCATGAATATCACCGCCGCCCTTCTCAGATAGGGAATCCTCCAGGGTCGGAAGCCTCCTGGGCACGTTCCTCAACAAGAGCCCCGACCGTATGCAACACGCAGTCTGGAGAGTGCCGGCACGGAGCTCCGCACGTAGATTGAAGACGCAGGTATGGCACGCGCCACAAGGCGCGCGCCAAGGCGGAGGTCTAGCGCGACACGTCCGCCTGAACGCTGAACCAACATGCAGCGTGCTTCAACCAGACGTTCTGATCACAGTACGTGCTGCGTCTCAATAGTTGACAAGCGCGTTCCACGACACACAAGGTAACTACTCGGAAGCGGCCTGGATCCGCCGCGGGGGACCTACGATCCATTACATCGAGGCAGCCATGTGTTTTCCTAACGTTTGCGAGTAAGCACTTTGGGAGTATTGAAGCGCGGTCGGTGAAACTAACCTTTTTTAAGCCCGCGGGCGCCATTGGTCAAGACAGTCAGGCGCCGGTCGTGGCAAGCGGTGGGGTGCACGGGGAGCGAATTGGGGCACGAAGGCGGCAAGATACGGAGCGCGAGGGGGGAGAAGAGGGAGGAGCCCGCTCGGATCATGAAAGCTGGCGCGAGGATGCCGCAGGATGACGCGTCGCTCGGTGAAAAAACGGACGCACGGGGGCAGTTGAGCTCCAGGGACCCCTCGGGGGCCAAGACGCGCTATCGGGGATCTGCTGACCCGGGTCAATCCAAACCCGGGTCAGTCAGGCCTTGCAGGATCCTGCACCCAAGCCCGGGTCAGTGCGACCCTGGCCGTGCAGGATCCTGCAAGATCCGGCGCTCTGGCTGGCCCCCATTTGCATGGACCCCAGTCTCTTCTGGGGAAACCTAAAGGTACCGATACCGCTACTTCCGGGACCTCTCCCGGGGCGCGTCCTAATCAGGACTTCGAAGCGAATCCAGCGGTGGCGACGAGGGCCTCCCAGGAGGCCGAAAAAGGGAAAACGGCAGAAGGGTACTCCAGGTCTCTCAATAAGCGTGGGGGCGTGGATCGCGTGGGGGGATGGGAAACCGCTGTCCTTCGGGGGGCGTGGGGAGGTTGGGGAGCGAGAGGGGGTAGGCTCGGGGCGCGTGGGGGGGCGGGCAAGGGGCGTCGGACAGGTTGGCACGGGGGGGTGCTTCTTGAAGGATCTGGAGAAGCTGTATGGGTACCTTTTCCTCCTCTGATCTCGAGCCCCGAGGCTGCACGCCAGGGTGGACCCCAGGGGAGCAGCGGCCTCTGGGTCGCGCGGCCTCGGGGGGCCGCGGGGCGGGGCAACAACGCAGGCGCGCAGGCCTCGAGTAGGGGATCGACTACAGAATTGATTTACCCCCACATCGGCTTTCTCGTCGAATCTGCGGAAGATATATAGTATTCTCCGTAGATATACGGAACTTCTACGTGTTCTTCGTAGACTCGGGGAAAATCCATTTGTGGGTAAGTCAATTCTGTAGTCGATCTCCTAATCGAAGGCCCGCCCCCAAGGGAGCGACGATCACAAGCGGCTCCTATAAGCGAGACGACGCAGCGACCTGCGACCTTATCCGGTGGCCTACGCGGGCCGCCAGCGCGGCAAACTGCGTGAGGAACGAGGGCGCTTACCCAGACCGCCTCGCATTGTGAAAAAATCTCGTCGGGAGGCTTTTCGCTATGTTCGGCCTCCAGGGGCCCTTGCCGGGCCTCGGGACCGTCAAAAACTATTCAGGATGAAAAACCGGTCCCGGGGAAGGGGTCCAGACCTCTGAGGGTGGACGTTGCGAAAAAAACACGGCGTCGGGGGTCTGGGTACTCGCCACCATACGCGAACAGCGAATGCGCGAATGTCGGCGCAGACGACCCCCCCGTGTTTCGTCGCAAGGGTGGGGGGGCTGGAGCAGACGGGGTGCGAGGATCGCGCCGCTTCGCTGATGCATCGGCGATGCACCGGCGACGTCGGGATGGATACGGACGGGCTCAAGATCGCCCCGCATCGGCGATGCGGCGAGCCTCCGGCCATCCCAGACCCGATGTTGTGCTTTTTCCCGCAGCGTGGCTCCACAAAGGTCTGGACCCCTTTCGGGAGAACTGGCTTTACGTCCCGAGCCGTTTTCTGACGGCAAGGGGGCCCTGCAGGGGCCCCAGGAGGCCGACAAACTCCTGCGAACAAAACCTCTCGTCGCGATTTATTCCATGACAGTAGGACGTCAGGGCGTTTGAGGGGCAACGATAGCGGGACTGGCTCAGGGAAGAAGCATCGACCTGAAATCGGCGATACATCGCCGATAGATCTGCGATAGGCCCCCGATAGCGAATCCGCGCGGTCCTGGGGCCAGGGTGGGCTATCGGGCCCCTGTCGGCGATGAGTGGGCGATTGGTTGTCGACGCATTCTCCTCTGAGACTACCCTCTACCTACCGTTGCCCCTGAGCGTCTGGGAGGCTTGGAAATTACTCTACTCGGGGAAAAGTCACTTCAGCGCGAGGCCGCCTGGGGCGAGGGACGGCAACAGAAGGGACGGACGAACGTGCCCCACCCTGCGACACCCCTGCAGCGAGGGAGAGGGGAGGGGGGATGTCCTCCTCATGAACTCACCCTCATCCTCCTCCACCTCCTACTATTGTTACTATTACTCTTCCTCTTCATCATCATCATCATCATCATCATCATCATCATCATCGTCATCATCATCATCATCATCATCAGCAGCATCATCAGCATCATCATCACCATCATCGTCGTCGTCAGCAGCAGCAGCAACAGCAGCAGCACCATCATCGTCGTCGGAATCTTCAAATGCATCGGCATTGGCATCGCCATCATCAGAACCACTAGCAGCGACATTAAAATCATCAGCACGACCATGGCCATCGTCATCATCAGCAGCATCGTCATCATAATCATAATCATAATCATCATCATCATCATCGTCGTCATCATCACCACCACCACCATCATCATCATCAGCATCATCATCAGCATCATCATCATCATCATCATCATCATTAATAGCATCGCCTTCATCATGCTCCTCCTCCTCCTCATACTCGTAATCACCGTCGTCGTCGTCGCCTTCGCCGTCATCGTCGTCGTCATTGGCATCGTCATCGTCATCGTCGTCCTCGTCCTCCTCATCATCATCACCATCATCATCATCATCATCACGAATAGCAGTACCATCACCATCATCATCATCATCATCAACATCATCA